GTAACTCAAGTTCTACGAATGGTGCGTAGCCCCTTAGCTACGGGCCCATCAGTCCAGCATGGCTTTGGCTGAGTTCAAAGTGGTTGGTACGGGCCGTAGAGGGCTATTTATAGATGGGACTGGCAGGTGATTGGAGCATTTTGTTCTCTCTGGCGGGAAGCAAGATGCTTCAGGAGTATACCCATAGCGAAGCCTAAGGGGCTACGCACCATTCGTAGAACTTGAGTTACATTAGGTAACTATCAATTATGTACCAGTTTTATGCAGGTCATATATCTACACTAACTCTGAGTGTGTAAATGAAGGTGTTTCCCCCACTGTTGTTGCTGCTGCTGTTGATAATGTTGTGTTGTAGTCTTGGTGTTTGTTTGTTGTTGCTGTTGTTATGTTGTTGTTGTTGTTTTGTTTGTTTTGTTTGTTGAATGCTGTCTGTTCTAAAGACATCGCTTGTGTTTGTAACTTTGCGACCACAACAATACATCTCTGTAATAAAATCCTAATATTTTTCACATGTTATATTTTTAGTCTTGGTCACATCTTTAGATCAGCTTTTTCAGTCAGAAAAGTGAAAAAGAGAGGACCACCCTCGCTCAGCCAATTAGCTCTCAGCCCAAAGAGACACTCACAGCGCTCTTTCTTAAACAAATATCCAAATCCAATATGCAATTCGAATACCTATGTTTTGTATATTCGAGTCTCTCCAGATTGAATTTCTATTGTGAGATAAATAATGTTTGATCTTAGCGTTATGTACCGCAGCTTTAAAGCCTGAACGTGATTGGGTCATGGCTTGATCACAATCATTGTAAGGAACGAGTAGAAGATGCAGATCACAAGGCTTTATGTATGTTATATAATTTAATTAGCTAGATAGATAGATAAATAGATAGATAGATACTTTATTGATCCCTGTCGGAGAAATTTAGGGATACATTTTATTTATTTTTTTATTTTTATTTTTATTTTTGGGGCTACCAGCAGCAGCAAAAATAAAATTGATCATTCAAAAAAGCTAACTATAGTAAAAATCAGCAACAGCCCTTCAGGTCACAGCAGCAGAGATGGAGTAACCGCTGGGCGGACAGGTCAAAAGGTGGAGTAGCCGCTTGGTTCGGACCATTTTCTCTGCTCTTGTCCAAAGTAAAATGCGGAATGCTTCATTAGCATTATTCAAAAAGTTTGCGTTCCTCCGATGGATTTTATCTGATCCACTTGGTTCGGACCATAAATCCTCTCTGCTCCAGTCTGGACCAGTGCAAAACCATGAACACTGTACTGCAGCAAAATCTTATGTAGAAAAAAGTAAGAAAAATAAAATGTATAAAGTACAAAACAACAATTGTTTTACAGCTACTTAGGACCTGATGCCGTTTTCCAGCGCATTCAAAAGTAAAATTCATGTATATACTAGCAATAGCAGCTATTGCACTTAGCAGCTATTGCACTTAGCAGCTATTGCACTTAATGTTAAATTCTTAGCTGCATTGTAATGACAATGGAAGTTGAAGCTAATTTAATCTATCTGCCCCTAAGAGTGCCCTCTCATGGGCTAGATGGAGGGTCCTGGACAAACTAACATCTATGCTGGACCATGGCTGTCACTCCCTGCAGCACACTCTGTCTGCTCTGAAGAGCAGCTTCAGCGACAGAATGGTCTGATATAGATACTGTATATTGAAATGTACTTGTTGCTCTTATGAAGTATTTACAGCTAGTAAAAAATTGTATTGTATATACTGTCCTGTATGAGCGCTGCAACATCGAAATGTCCCCACTGTGGGACGATGAAAGGTTTTCTTATCTTCTCTTTCTGACCTCCCTGACCTATCTGACCTCTCTTGTGTGCAGGTGAGGGAGCATTGAGAGCTGATCCCCGGCTCCAGGCCTTGTCCCTTTCATCCCTGTCATCCCGGTCGTCCCCCTCGTCCCTCCCTGGCCAGCGCACGGGCCCCCCTCCCGTCAGCCCGACCAAGAGGAAGTTGAGCTCAGAGCATCCGGACAGCGACCTGGACGACAATGAGCATGTGACCAAGATGAGCCGCCTATTCGCCGCCCAGCTGTGAGTGTCCGGCTGCGATGGTCCATGTACCAGAGGAACTTACACGGGTCTCTCTGAGCTTAAAGGCAGAGCTGAAGTTAGCTGGATGACATTGTAGAGGCTGTGCATACATTGTAGATCATAATCATCACAAACTCTCTGTCTCTAGTGGTAGAAGTGGGGAACTGCATCTTGCTTTCATAATACACTGAGAACATGGCACAGTGAATATTCCCATGATCCTGTTTTGGGGCCTCACTGTGTCCAGGCAGGTTCCCTCAGTCCGTCTTCTTTGGGCTCGACCGGGTGAGGCCGGCTTCGTGTCTCTCTCCTCCTTATAGCTCCACTACACTACAAATACATTTCTCACATCTCCGGCGTTCCCGCATTCTGACTTCCAGAAATTCCAGACATTCCTGGGCTCCTATTGCCCAGGCCTGTGCCGCCCCCCTCTCCCCAGTCTTAGTCAGTCACGGGATCCTGCCATTGCTATTTATTGCCTGGACGTTAAGAGAGGTGTTCGCTGGCCTTCATATGCTTTTGAAACATATAGCTGTTTATTGGAGCCTCTAACCTTTGTTCTTACATTTGGATGTAAACACAAAAGTGAAACGGATAATTATTTAACCAATTATTGCCCAAACGTATCCATTTAATTTCCTCTCTGATGTTGCCAGGTTGTGAGAAAATATTGGTGGGAAATGAGAGATGTTGCAGGCTAATACTTTTATCATCAGAACTATTATGCCTTTGTGTTTTAGGATCCATTTAATTTCTGATAAAAATGAGGCCTCTCACCATCTCCCGATGTAGACTGAGGTCTCTAACCCTAGATTTCCTTTTGTTCATCCCTCAGTGGAGTAAAGTCAATGTCGTAGCTGCGAAAGCTTACTGCGGAATAGAAGGACCCACTCGCAGCCGCTGTTCCCGCGCCGTAAGTCCGCTCTGACCCGGACGCAGAAGACCAAGCCGCCGTCACCGGTGAAGGACCAGGATGTTCCTTTGAACTCTCGAGCTATAATTGCTCCTGTGTCAAGGATAGTGTCCTGGGGCCTCTCACCTCAATTAGATTTTTTGTATTGCAATAATCTCAAATGATTGAAAATATGTATTTTTCACCGAGACAGAACTCACCCTCTGAAGCATACAACGCGGCTTTGAGAGGGGAAGTTGAGTACCAAAATAAAACACAGTGGAGCAGCGTGCACTTCCAGGAATTTCAAAATTAAACGTCAAAATGATAAAATTCACAAAAAAATTACATTTTAAAATAGAATAAAACCAGGAATTGTAAACAACAAATATAAAGTGCATTTCTATATCCGTTACACTAGTTATCTCTGAGGACTTTACAAAGTTGTCGATTCGCCAGCACAGATCAGAGAATCAAACAGTTCAAACACAGGAAGATTGATTAAAAACACGTTGGTCGCCATTGGTCCACAAGAGGCAGTTGACCAATGTCCATACACGTTACTAGATGTCCATAAATGTCATTGAATGTTGAATATCGTTGATCATCACCACTGTTCCTAGACCCTCCTGCATCAAGGAATAACTGTAGGTGTTTACTGAGGCCTTTAACCCAAGATTTGGATGTATACGGAGGCCTGTATATTGAGGAAGTGGATTAGAAAGTGCACATTTATCCGCTGCCAAATCTTTTATGTAATTCTGCGTCTGCTCAAAGGTGTGTTTGTTTGGAGAGGCGTTTTTCGGAGTTAAATCCGGTGTTTGGAAAAGCAATCTCCAAATCTCTTATGTAATGAAGTCAAAACGGAGTCAGACCTTGAGCAATATCCTCTCTGATGTTGCCAGCTTGTGAGAAAATATTGGTGGGAAATGAGAGATGTTTCAGGCTAATACTTTTATCATCAGAACTATTATGTCTTTGTGTTTTAGGATCCAGGATTGAATCACATAAATACTAAAATGTTTCAGTATATGTTGGTGAAAGCTAAGTGTATGCCCCATAGACTTAATGTAATACTTCATTATTCACATATTGAAAATGTATATTATGCATTAATTCTGGAGTAAATATCTTTCAAACTACAATAAAATAGTAATACTATAAAATCTAACTTGTCCCTCACTCTCAAAACATTTCTTTATTAACAGCTTCCATCACTGGTTTTCGAATGCACGTATTTTGGCCAATGTCATATGTTTCGATCAGCTTTTTATGGTCTCTCTGGCGTCTCTCTCTGGTCAGACTCTGGTCTCTCTCTCACCGGTCTCTCTCTGGTTTCTAAACGTCTCTAGATCAGTAACCGTTTGTGTCACACTCACCATTTTGAGGTTAAATCTATGGTTTAGCGTTCTCTGTGATCCTGGTGATTATATTTTGATATCTTTTTACATCCAGATATGAGCACTACAAGGATTGACCAATCAGAAGCCTATATTTGTGGGGAAACTCAAGCTTGCCATAGCAACACATCTACCCCTGTTACGACGCAAAGCTAACGCCCTCGGAACAAATGCAGGTGGACTCGCCACCTGCAGGAGGATCGGTGAGGAGCTGGTGCTCTGTCAATTGGGTGGCATCTCTGACTGCCACCCCCCTGACCCAGAAATGGATTAAGGGGAAGAAAATGGATGGATGGATGGAAGGCCCCCAGCTCGCAAACTATTTTTCAGACTGGGAAGAATAGCGCAAATACCGAATAATTTGTAGAGTTTGTAATTTTCCCGTCTGCAGAAAGTGACCACAGCACAATGTTCTCATGATCTAACTCTCGTCACAATCATATCTGATTTTTAGTGTTCTGTTTGCTTTTCAGGGCCTTGAGTTTGGCCGACTTTTCCAGACCTGATCACACTGTGTGACTGCTCAAAAGGAGATCGTAGAATGTCAATCTAAAAATAATACTTGACTGTAGGACATGGAATTAGCTTTTGGTTTAGCATTGAGAGACCAGATAGAGCCCAGAGTGAGAGAGAGGCCAGAGAGAGAGACCAAAGAGAGAGAAAGCCCAGAGAGAGCGAGACCAGAGAGAGAGAGACCAGAGAAGGAGAGAGACCAGTCCACAATAGTCCCAGGCTCATATGCTGCTGTTTCTCTGTGGCCTGTGGCCTATTTGTGTGTGGTGGAGGTGGGAGGAGGCTTTGAACAAAAGGGGCCTTATCCCGTGCCCTGGGGCCCGTGCCCTGGGGCCCCTGGGAGCTGCTGTGGTCCCCCACTCAGCTGTTGGAGCCTGACTCCTGCTGAAAGTGCAGACGGGAATTCTGAGGACCACCTGCAGGGGTTATGTGCCATGTCTTCAAACGCGTTATGCAAAACCTTCGACATGTTACAACCTGGTTCCAGATCAAACACACGCCTGGAGCTGTCTTTAGTCTGATCCAAGCTTGTTTTAGCTTGTTTCACATAATCCACTGCATAAAGGATCCCTCACTCATTTTGAGAGATGAGAAAAATATTCAGGTTATGCCAAAGGTCAAAGGTCCATATTTCTGGAAACGTGACCCAGGACCATAAACCGGGACGCTGTGGCTGTTTTACTCTCACACACCTGGGATTCTGTTCTGAAGAAGTCTGACTGCAGATAGAGAAAGACTAGAAAGAGACTAAGAGGGACCAGAGAGAGACCAGAGAGAAACCAGAAAGAGACCCCAGACATGAGGACCACAGACATGACAATGATTGCCCGGACTTTGTACATGCTTGTTAAAGTCCTTCCGTATCACTCTGAACTCTTCCCCTTTCAGAGACTCAAAGACAACAGATCCAGCCGATAACATCCTGTTCCCCTTTGAGTCAAAATTTAAATCGGTCAGTAATTCACTAAACTCAGTGTGTGTGTGTGTGTTGCGGTGACAAGGGAGGAGAGTCGGGGTCAGACGACCTCTGTTTGAGAACCACTGCTCTCCCACTGAAAGCTTTGGGATTAGGGTTATTGCATATGGACAGAAGTGACATCATAAAACCCTCTTGTAACCAGCGGGCAGTTTATTTGTCAGCTACTGGGGACTTGAGTCAATTAGCCACTCTGCCCGATACATTTCACCCAATTACTGCCATTTTAATTGACTGTAACAGTTTCCCTCATTTATACTGTGTACACTGTAAAACTAGTGCAGCTGGGAACTCCATCAGTGCGTTGTTCTCATAGTGGTTTCTCCAGGGAGTGAAAATAAGAGCTGAGCCTGGCCAGCGCTGGTGAAGTCATTGTTCCTGTCTTGTTTTACACTGGGACTATTTCTGCAGTGAGTTTGAGACCAAGTCAGAAGAGGAGGGAGTCTTTCTGTTTGATTTGGTGGTTCCCAAAGTCAATCTTTTCCAGCTTCGATAACAATAGATTTCCTTCATCTCTCCATCCCAGTCTGTAATCACTTATCCGTCATGATGTTTCGGGAGGAAGCGGTGAGACTCATTGCTTCCAGGGCTTTGAGTCGTCCACCGTCTATTGTTGATTTACAAACAAAACGTATAGCGCTAGTTAATGATTGTGATTATATCCTTTGTTGGCTTCAAAACGGATTGACACACACACAGATGAGAGAGAGAGAGACGAGAAAGACACCAGAGAGGGAGACCAGAGAGGGAGACCAGAGAGGGAGACCAGAGAGGGACACCAGAGAGGGACACCAGAGAGGGACACCAGAGAGGGACACCAGAGAGGGACACCAGAGAGGGACGCCAGAGAGGGACACCAGAGAGGGACACCAGAGAGGGACGCCAGAGAGGGAGGCCAGAGAGGGAGACCAGAGAGGGAGACCAGAGAAGGACGCCAGAGAGGGAGGCCAGAGAGGGAGACCAGAGAGGGAGGCCAGAGAGGGAGACCAGAGAGGGAGACCAGAGAGGGAGACCAGAGAGGGAGACCAGAAAGGGAGACCAGAGAGGGAGACCAGAGAGGGAGACCAGAGAGGGAGACCAGAGAGGGAGACCAGAGAGGGAGACCAGAGAGGGAGACCAGAGAGGGAGACCAGAGAGGGAGACCAGAGAGGGAGACCAGAGAGGGAGACCAGAGAGGGAGACCAGAGAGGGAGACCAGAGAGGGAGACCAGAGAGAGACCAGGAGAGACCAGAGAGGGAGACCAGAGAGGGAGACCAGAGAGGGAGACCAGAGAGGAGGCCAGAGAGGGAGACCAGAGAGGGAGACCAGAGAGGGAGACCAGAGAGGGACGCCAGAGAGGGACGCCAGAGAGACGCCAGAGAGGGACGCCAGAGAGGGACGCCAGAGAGGGAGACCAGAGAAGGAGACCAGAGAGGGAGCCAGAGAGGGAGACCAGAGAGGGAGGACCAGAGAGAGAGACCAGAGAGAGAGACCAGAGAGAGAGACCAGAGAGAGAACCAGAGAGAGACCAGAGAGAGACCAAGAGAGAGACCAGAGAGAGACCAGAGAGAGAGACCAGAGAGAGACCAGAGAGAGAGACCAGAGAGAGACCAGAGAGAGACCAGAGAGAGACCAGAGAGAGACCAGAGAAGTGAGACCAGAGAGAGACCAGAGAGAGACCAGAGAGAGACCAGAGAGAGACCAGAGAGAGACCAGAGAGAGAGACCAGAGAGAGACCAGAGAGAAAGACCAGAGAGAGACCAGAGAGAGAGACCATAGAGGGAGACCAGAGAGAGACCAGAGAGAGAGACCAGAGAGAGAGACCAGAGAGAGACCAGAGAGAGAGGCCAGAGAGAGACCAGAGAGAGACCAGAGAGAGACCAGAGAGAGACCAGAGAGAGACCAGAGAGAGAGACCAGAGAGAGACCAGAGAGAGACCAGAGAGAGAACCAGAGAGAGACCAGAGAGAGAGACGCCAGAGAAGGACGCCAGAGAGGGAGGCCAGAGAGGGAGACCAAGTGAGAGTGGTTATCTGTCGCTACTTCACTTTTCTCTCTGAAAAGGTGTTCTCAAGCCCTGAGCCAAAATCCTTCCTTTTCCCCTGAGTTAAAAGTTTTAAATGGTTATCTTTGTTTCAATGCAGTTGGAAACCCAGGCCCCCCCAGCTTTAATTAACAATAGTGTACGTTTTAAATATAGATTTTGAGTTTCCGCAGCTGAAATCTGGAGAGCTTCAAGATGTTTTCATGTTGTTTATACTTAGCCAGAGTTAGCTGGCTGTGCGGTGGCTGGATCAGGGGCCCTGCTGTACGCTGCGGTGTGGTCTTCATCCTCCTCCTCTTCCTCCTCTTCCTCTCTGCTCTGATTCTTCCCAGATGTTTCCTGTGCGTATCTCCGACTTTTTTCACTCTTCACTTTTCTATTTATTTCCATAAGCAGTCGGATGTGGATAAGGCCGGCTCAAACAGACTGTAGTACAATAGTGAGAAAAGTTCTGGAGTTTTTATTTTCACTTTTAAGACCTGTGCTGTCTTTATCAAAACAGGGAGAAATGACTAATTATAGATGGAATTGATCTAATCCCAAAGTATGAACACATCATCATCATTTTTATCCCAGTAGAGAAAGAGCTTTGTCTCAGTGTACACCAGTCCCTTGCTCTTACGTGGTTCTCCAATATCACAAACAACAGCATGGTCTCTCACTCTGGTCTCTCGCTCTGGTCTCTCACTCCTATCTCTCTCTAGTCTCTGGTCTATCTCTCTGGTCTTTCTCTGGTCTCACCCTGGTCTTGCTGTGTCTCCCTCTCTCTATGGTTTCTCTCTCTTCTCTATCTGGTCTTTCTCTATTTTCTCTCTCTCCCTGGTCTCTCTCGCTCTGGTGTCCCTCTCTCCCTGGTCTCTCTCTATTTTCTCTCTCTCCCTGGTCTCTCTCGCTCTGGTGTCCCTCTCTCTCTGGTCTCTCTCTATTTTCTCTCTCTCCCTGGTCTCTCTCGCTCTGGTGTCCCTCTCTCTCTGGTCTCGCTTGCTGGTTTCTCTTTGTGGTTTCTGCACACACTACAGCAGTATTCTTGTGCTGAGAGCTGATTGGCTGAGTGAGGGTGGTCCTCTCTGTTTCACTTTTACGTCTGAAAAAGATCTAAAGATGTGACTGAGGCCAGAGACTCTTTGAGAGCGAGAAGAGAGTGAGAGGGATGTATATGTATTATTCACAATTGTTTTTTGTGGTTTGAAAATTGCTTTAATTATTTCACACAACCCTATAGGCTATGACTATGGACAAATGATCTGTTTGCTGCCATAACTACTTACCCTGTGGTCTGCCCAGCGAGGTGAGAGTGGTCGACAAAAGCACTGTGTGTGTGTGTGTGTGTGTGTATGTGTGTGTTTGTGTGTGTGTATGTGTGTGTGTTGTCCTATTCTTGTGTCGTTGGTTTTTGGCAGAGACTCTGGTTCAGACATTTGAATTAGTATCTCCCATGCAGCTGTAACAGGCTCATGTGCAGTAGTAGTTGAAGTAGTAGTAGCAGCAGCAGTAAGAGTAGTAATAGTAGTAGTATTAGCAGCGGTAACAATAGTAGTAGTAGCAGCAGTAGCAGTAGTAGTAGTAGGAGCTGCAGTAACAGTAGTAGTAGTAGTAGTAGTAGCAGTAGTAGTAGCAGTAACAGTAGTATACAGCAGCAGTAACAGTGGTAGTAGTGGCAGCAGTAACAGTAGTAGTAGTAGTAGTAGTAGTAGCAGTAGTAGTAGCAGTAACAGTAGTATACAGCAGCAGTAACAGTGGTAGTAGTGGCAGCAGTAACAGTAGTAGCAGTAGTAGTAGTAGTAGCATCAATTTTGTTCCCAAACCTTGTTTATCATTTGTTTATCCATACGTTTACTTTTGTGGTCACCCCTGACAACCGCCTCTCTCTTTTCCAAACGTGTCCGGTCCACAGGAACTTTGTGCTGACGCTCAGAAACAGGACAAAGCCTCCATCGGGGGTCCGGCTCAAAGGAAAGCTCTCAGTCTTTCCTAAACGAGCCCCCCGTCCTCCCTCCTCCTCTCCCTGGTCCCGTAACCTTCCATTCTCCTTTTCCAGATGCTTCCGTCCGCTCAGGCCTGTTGCTGGGCCACGCAGAGCTGCTTCTGCATCTAAACACGTCAGGTTTTTCAAGTCGCCTTTAGTGGAGTGTGTGGAGAGAGACCAGGGAGAGACCAGAGAGAGACCAGGGAGAGAGACCAGAGAGAGAGACCAGAGAGAGAGACCAGAGAGAGAGACCAGAGAGAGAGACCAGAGAGAGAGACCAGAGAGAGAGACCAGAGAGAGAGACCAGAGAGAGAGACCAGAGAGAGAGACCAGAGAGAGACCCAGACCCCTGAGCTGGGCCCCAGAACTGGGCCCCAGAGCACAAAGGCTGGTGTGTGTTGTCTCTGCTTTCTGCTCTGTGCCTCTCTTCTGGTCGTTATTTAGGCTTTAGTGTCAGCAAAGAGTATAGAACTCTTTGCTAACCAGAGCCGGTTATGCTTTTCCCCACTGTGAGAGAAATAAATATTCTCTAATCTTTACTGTACATACAGTATAAGTTTGTCTGAAAATAAATGGAAACAACAAAAACGGTGGTCTGCTATCAACTACAGCCACAATCCAAGTCGAACTTATCAACTAGCATTTCATAGATTCCCCAAAGACTGAGAGAGGTATGGTGGAGGGGAACTAGCTAACATTAATGTCAACAGGTGTTGAAACGTATGACGGAGCATGAGGCTCATCCAATTTCCTTAGACCACTTCTGATTTGGATCCTGTCGGCTACTTTTATTTTATGACTGTTGTGTTGCGTTCAGTCCAAAATGGCGGCGCTGCGGCTCGGTTACAGGTTTGTTTGTGGCACATTCTATTGAGTTTGGCCTCTTGGTACTTCTACAGTCTTTGGTGTAGTGTGGGAGTGAACAGAGCGACACAACTGGGGTTTCGAAGGACAGAGTCTGACTGACCAGTGAGATACAAGAGTCTGACCAGTGTCAATAATCTAGAGTTTTCAGCCCAGTCATGGGCCGTGGTACTGTTGGTTCCCGCTCTGCATCCTGACAAGTCAGAACGCTCACATGTCCCTCTGGTCACTCTCTGGTCACTCTCTCTGGTGTCTCTCTCTATTCTCTTCCTGGTCTCTCTGGTCTCTCTCTGCTCTCTCTCTCCATGTCTCCGCTCTTGGCTCGTCTTGAATCGTCTGGTGGAGCAGCAGCTGAGGGGGAGCACTCTTGAGCTTTGAACTGTGTGTCCGTTGTGTCCCGCTGTGAGTGCATTTGGAGGGCAGCCATGTTGGAGAGGTCTGGGGGGGGGGGGGGGGGGGGGGGGGGATCGGTCTATCCCTGAAGCTGCTGAGTGTCCTGATCTCAGCATAGATCGAGCTAATTAGACGGTTTGATTTGCCAATCAAACAAATTAATATGTCGCCTGAAGTTGTGCTGCACTAAACTAGTTTTATTTGGATTATCTCAGGCTGCCTTGTCATCATGTCTTTGAATGACTTTTGCCTTTTTAACTTGAATTTGTGGCTTAAAGGCCACCTCGCCTTTTCAGAAAAGAAATCTGAGTTTCTGCTAAAACTGACTTGGTAGCCTCAGCTATGCATCCGTCATGCTGGGTGGCCATGTTTGTTTTGCCTCTGCTCGGCACTGCTTGCTTTTGTCAAACCCGGATATCCCGCTCTAAACTTCAAGACTGGCCCATGATTGGGGAGAACACCTAGATGTTCTACTCGAAAAGTGTAGGCGGGAACTGTGCAAGATGTGTGTGTTTGTGAACTCACAAATATTGGCCATTTGCAGTCAAATCACATTGGAATACACATGTCGCCAGTGTGTACCAGACAAGTACATAAATGAAAAAGGCTAAAAAGTACAATAAATCAACAAAAACATATTGAGATGCATCTGCAAGATTATATTTATTGCTGCTGTACAAGAAATGTGGATACGATTTGCCAAATGAGGAATGGCAGAGTGGTGTTGGACCTTGATTGACTGACTACTGTTGCCGTGAGCGACCGGGGGAAGACTGAGCTTTGTGCTTAATTCTTCTATCTTCCAGACTGAACCTCTGATTTAGCATCATACTGTAATAACACATGTCCTCTTGTCTTCTTGTCCTCATGTCTGCAGGAAGCCAAGCGGAGATTACCGCAGCTCTAAGGACCGCAGCCGAACCCCCCCAGAGCGCCTGGTGATGCCCTCTGCTCTGCACTCCTACCACCCCCATCTCCCCCATCTCCCTATGTCCGCCCTCAGCCTGGAGCAGCCCCTGGCCCTCACCAAGAACTCAGAGAACACCCGCCTCAGCGCCATGCTCCCTCACCCAGTCTTGGAGCGCCAACAGGTAAACTGAGAGGGAGACAAGAGAGGGAGGCCAGAGAGGGAGGCCAGGGAGGGAGGCCAGAGAGGAAGACCAGAGAGGGAGACCAGAGAGGAAGACCGGAGAGGGAGGCCGGAGAGGGAGGCCAGAGAGGGAGACCAGAGAGGGAGACCAGAGAGGAAGACCGGAGAGGGAGGCCGGAGAGGGAGGCCAGAGAGGGAGACCAGAGAGGGAGACCAGAGAGGAAGACCAGAGAGGGAGACCAGAGAGGGAGACCAGAGAGGGAGACCAGAGAGGGAGACCAGAGAGGGAGACCGGAGAGGGAGACCGGAGAGGGAGGCCAGAGAGGGAGGCCAGAGAGGGAGACCAGAGAGGGAGACCAGAGAGGGAGACCAGAGAGGGAGACCAGAGAGGGAGACCAGAGAAGGACGCCAGAGAAGGACGCCAGAGAGGGAGGCCAGAGAGGGAGGCCAGAGAGGGAGGCCAGAGAGGGAGACCAGAGAGGGAGGCCAGAGAGGGAGTCCAGAGAGGGAGGCCAGAGAGGGAGGCCAGAGAGGGAGACCAGAGAGGGGAGACCAGAGAGGGAGACCAGAGAGGGAGACCAGAGAGGGAGACCAGAGAGGGAGACCAGAGAGGGAGACCAGAGAGGGAGACCAGAGAGGGAGACCAGAGAGGGAGACCAGAGAGGGAGACCAGAGAGGGAGACCAGAGAGGGAGACCAGAGAGGGAGACCAGAGAGGGAGACCAGAGAGGGAGACCAGAGAGGGAGACCAGAGAGGGAGACCAGAGAGGGAGACCAGAGAGGGAGACCAGAGAGGGAGACCAGAGAGGGAGACCAGAGAGGGAGACCAGAGAGGGAGACCAGAGAGGAAGACCAGAGAGGAAGACCAGAGAGGAAGACCAGAGAGGAAGACCAGAGAGGAAGACCAGAGAGGGAGACCAGAAAGGGAGACCAGAGAGGGAGACCAGAGAGGGAGACCAGATGCTGAGCTGGGTGAGGATTGGCATTGAGAGCTTAGTTCTTCAGGCTGAATTTTCGCTTTAGCGTCTTAACACATGCAGACCGCTCTTATGTCAATATTGATTCCAAAAAGCTGTTTAAAGTGAAAAACAAAAAGAAGCTAAAACGACTTCACAAGTCGTTTTAGCATTATGGACATTTTGGAAACTCGTTTGTTCTCGGAGTGGGCAATTTAGAACTTGTGGATAGGGATTACATTATTATCTGTATAAAGATCATTCTATAAGCGCCAATGTTGTGTTTTTGTTTCAGAATCGCCCGTCAGTGATCACATGTGCTCCAGCCAACAACCGCAACTGTCACCTGTCGCACTGTCCAGGCTCCCACTCCAACTGCTCCAACCTCAGCAACAACTTCAGGAGAATCCACTGTGAGAATTTGGAGTTTATCACAACCAGAGAGAGACCAGAGAGAGAGAGACCAGAGAGAGAGACCAGAGAGAGAGAGAGATCAGGGAGAGAGACCAGAGAGAGAGAGACCAGAGAGAGAGAGACCAAAGAGAGAGAGACCAGGGAGAGAGACCAGGGAGAGAGACCAGAGAGAGAGACCAGCGAGAGAGACCAGAGAGAGAGACCAGACAGAGAGACCAGACGGAGAGACCAGATAAAGAGACCAGGGAGAGAGACCAGGGAGAGAGACCAGAGGGAGAGATCAGAGGGAGAGACCAGAGGGAGAGACCAGAGGGTGAAAACAAATAAGTAGATCATTCTAAAAATAGCTAAAAAGTAGCCACTGGGTGGAGCAGGACTGGTCTCAGCAGCATGTGAAAACATATTAAAAAGGGAAATGATAAAGGGTATCTTAAGTGCAGTAAAGGTCTCTTTATAAAAGTATCTGTTCAATTATAAAGTTGCAGTCCTTCTGCAGGTTGTCATTAAGTGACTTATAGCGTCTCTAACCTGCCCTCATGTGTGTGCAGCAAACACGGCTTGCGACCCGGTCATTGAGGAGCACTTCCGCCGGAGTCTGGGCAAAAACTACAAAGAGCCGGAACCCACCGTTGCCGCCGGCAACTCTGTGTCCATCACCGGATCTGTGGACGACCACTTCGCCAAAGCTCTGGGCGACACATGGCTCCAGATCAAGAACAGAAGCAGCTCCTCGTCCTCTGGGTCCAGTCCCAACTCCTCCCCCCACAACTCCTCCCCCCTCAGCCACTCCCCCGCCCTGCTGTCCTGAGGGGGCCGGTGTATACAAATGCTTGGATTCAGTTATTTTTTAAATCTTGATTCATGTATTTATTATTCTCTCAAAGGAGGATTTACCAATAGAACAAGTATGAATGGTTACACCATACATATAAAAAAATGTATATATACATTTTCTTTTTCAATTAATCTGTGTGTGCTTGGGGTCTCTTGGGGAGGCTATAAGAATGTCCTGTATGATTTCACATCTGCGCTCAAAACAAATCCATGAATTGGAAAGCTAATTCCAAATGACCAGATCCATCAATTATCAAAGTTCAGTTGATTGTCAGAGTTTGTTACAGCTGTAAGTATAAAAACTTGCCATTTCTCACTCGGTAAGAGATAGAACTGTTCTGTTCTTTACTTTAGCTGCTTGTTCTATTGTCAAATCTACACATAAGAAAAAATATACAAAAATCAAGATAATATCTACTACGAGCTATATTTAATTCATTGTTTAATTTTTCGAAACTGTGTTCATCGATGACCCCCTGTCGAACTATTCGGTTCCTGGACTCAGGGAGCGACTGGTGGCTCCCAAAATGACGGAGCGGAGTCTGTAGTTATCTGTACATACGAGAGAGACTGCGGCGTTTTTAATGATTACGTTCTTTATGTTGCTTTTATTTTAACAGTAGTTTTGTGTTCTGCCTCTGTGTCACAACATGCCTGAAGTGTGAAAGAAAACCACATTCATCAAATCTCCAGATGATTCAGCCACTAAAATTGATATTCCTGTATTTGTCTCTAACTCTGGTCTCTCTGGAGTTGTAGTCTGGTACTGCAACACCCACTATATGTAAAACAAGCGCCCCCATTGGCTGAACATTTGATAAAATGTTCTATATATCTATATAAAGTATTTTTTATCCAATTTAATGTAATTTCATAGATTTCCAGTCACTATGGGCTTAATATTATCTCATGTGTTCATGTATTCATGTTGTAATATTTTCATGTTGTTGTTGTTGTCACTGAAGGGCCTTGGCGTCTCCCTGATGCATGTTTGACTTTAGTCTGATAGCTGGTGTCTATTAATTTTTTGACGCATTTCAAGATATAATTCTGAGAGTTTGTTGTTCCAGAGACAGGCCTGGTTCACTGCTGGGTCAGTCCTACTCATATGTTAAATATTACATGTGTTTATCAAAATTCACTCTACATGCTGACAGCCTCTGGACAGGCTCGTGTCCATCACTGAACAGTGAGGCCTGAAGATGTTGATCCATCGATAGTGCAAACTGTTTCAGCCTAAAAGACACACACACAACAATCAAGTTTACACCACTGAACTGTCTGTTCTAGAGCAGACAGGTTCTGTAGTGTCCTGTTGGAGCCGCACTTACCATTAGCCTCTATCCTGCATCACAGCTTCATTCACTCGGTCAGAGTCAGGGTTCAGACCAGAGCTGAGCTCTGAGTCTTGGACACAGAAGCTGTGGGACGAGTGTGTGACGAGTGTGTGACAGCACAAACACACAGAGGAGATGGACTTAAATGTCTCTGGTCCCACTCTCCTCTGGAGAAGCACACACTGCTCTGTGGGAGATTCACTTTTCTAAATCTAAAACTAAGACCATCTTTACGCTGTGCGTAGAGAATGTACAGAAGAATCGTAGGAATTGTTTGAGGAACATTAATGTTAAGGATTTGTAGTTATTTAATTCTTGTTTCTGTCTCGTTGTAATCATTGCATTTCTCTTGTGAAAAAGTTGATCTTTTTTGTTTATAGATTTGTGTTAGAGTGATGTTCAGGAACAGAGGTGTGAGGACCTTCTGAAGGAACCGAGGCTAACAGGCCTTAATCAGAACGTTCTGCAGTTTCCTCCTCCATCAGTAACATCGGGTCATAAGGTCCTGATGTCATGTACTGGTGTCATTCGGAGCCAGAGTAGAAGGGGCCTGGTCCCTGGTCTCGGATCTGTTAACTCTTGTGGCTGTGTCTCCTGAGAAAAGGTTTTGGCAGGCCACCCTTTTGTACGTTCAGTAAAAAGTAGCTTTGATGAACAATAAAGTGCTTTTAAACCACATCTCATCGTCTTCTTCTTTAACTCGTGGGACTTTGACTTTGAAGTGTTTTCATTTGAATCCCAGACTGAGAGAAAAGTACTTTAATGAAACCACAATACACTGTACAGAAAGTATCAGATATACAGTACATACAGTTTAGTTACGGAGAGAGTTAGTGAGCTGCTCAGGGACCTGAAGTTAAGCCCTAAAGACCAAAACAGAGAATTTGGGGACATTTCTGACTCTGCTTTGACAAAACTCATACGTTTAATTACAGCTGTATTTGTTACTCAAAAACCTGAATTCTTCCAATCGGCTGGCTCTCCTCTCCATAGACTTTTCTCCAATGTAGATGTAGTTTGACCCTGTACTAGAGGAGACGGGTCCAGGGAAAACCGTTGGAAAAAAGAGAGAAGCCGCGTGCTTTTAAATGATAATTGTGACCAGTATATTTAGAGGTGTCTTTAATCTCTTAAACATTTAATTTTCATCTCGGCTCAGAGAAAGAAGAAATTAGTTTTAGACTTGAGAAACCAATCCAGGACAGACGAAGCAACAAACCCCTATTATGTATGGCAGAAGGAACGTGAAAATGGAAATAAACGTTTATTGATGACAAGACAAAGAGGGTAATACAGACACACAATGGAGAAATAACTATATTTTTTTGGAGCCGAATAAAATGTGTTAAAGTCTTAGCAAGTCTCGGGTCTAAGCAGGTGTGAGGTCTTAGCAGTACAACACAGTCCAAGTTCAATCATTTGGTCCGACTCTTTGGTTTGGGGAGTGAAGTCTGGTTCTGGGAGATGTACTTTAAGAGACTTGTTCTTAGATGCTCTCGTCGTCGCTCATGTCCCAGATCTGAAAAACACAAATACACACAGTTAGAATCAATATAGTGTGTGTGTCATTCATGGCTTTTATTGGGGGGAAAAAAGTTTCAAGCCATTTTTAAGTTTGTGCTATACCATGTTTAGACCTGACTCTGGCTACAAGCAGGAGGCCAGTCCCTGTGCTCCTCAGAGTTACTTCATATGGTCCCTCTCTCTCGCTCTGGGACATAAAGCATTGTCCATCTGTGCACAGTCTGTGGTCTAAATGTCTCCTCGGACCCTCAGGAGCTGGAGCTGGGGTCCTGTCTCTCACACTCAGGGTCTTCCACAGTTCCTTGTGAGTAAACAGTAGATTCCACACATAGTTTTAGTCAAAGACGCACTTCACAATCCTCTGACAGCGACAGGAATCTGCGGTTCTCACACGTCCATGCGGCATTCCTTGCAGGCTATTTGGAATGATCTCTCAGATGAATTAAACACAGGCTAAAACCTGATTAAGCTTTGAAATAATTTAAAATAGAATAACTGAAGAAATACTGTATGTGTAAGAAAGAGAGTGGTTTCTTAAACACAGAGCGAGTAATGGGAGAGGGGTGTAGGGTCAGAGAGTGTTTGGGCCTGTTCCCGGAGTGTGTATAAGTGTGTGTGTGTGTGTGTGTTTTGTCTGTCTTAAACCGTCTGTGGCAGTGTCAGGTACTGTTTTACTGTTTGTACTGTACAGTTGTGTGTTTGGGAATTCTACTGCATGATATTCTTAAAACACTGTATTTTGTGTGTGGTTGTGCGTGTGGGTGTGGGTGTGTGCAGAGAGAGGGACCAGAGAGAGGGGCCATGAGAGGAACCAGAGAGAAGGACCAGAGAGAGGGACCAGGGAGAGACACCAGAGAGAGAGAGAACAAAGAGAGGGCTCAGAGAGAGAGACCAGAGAGAGACCATGTAAAAGTAAACTCCTCCAGCTCAGTAACCGTTTGTGACACACAAATCTGTGGTTTAGCGCGCTCTTTGATCCTGCTGTTTATTTTGTGATAATGTCCATGTAAATCCAGGTATGAGTCATGTAAGGATTGACCAATATCTCTGTATAAATAACTTAAAAAACCTTCACACACAGAACCACTATCCTTCCTCTTTTAGAGTGTTTTAGAGCAGACATGTTACGTTGACCCGATATTCTTCTTAGTCACACTCTGGTGTCGTGAGCTGTCAGTCACCACCTCTGCCCTGGGGCACACTGACAGGGATGTGGCAGGAACACTGGAGGAGAGGAGAGGGGAGGTGAGCAGAGTATAGAGCCGGTGGAAACAGGGATATTGTCCACTTCTCATGGCAGAGTAGTTGTCCTCCTCTTATCACTGTAGACCTCCAGTCGTTGTCGGCGACACTTTACTCTTCTGGACGTTTGATAAAGAGCTCTAAGCTGCGTGTAATCATGTGCCATGTGTCTGTAATCAGCTGGAGCAGGGCAGACGCGGCCTCACTAATCCTGCGCCACTGTCTCATCTGATAAAAGGAGAGAGCGAGACCTCAGGCCAACGACCGGCCAGGAACCGAGCAGAGATCAGAGAGAGGGCTGTGTTTACAACGAATGGCACCAGAGAAAGATCAGCGAGAGAGAGACCAGAGAGAGATATATCAAAGAGAGATCAACAAGAGAGAGATCAACAAGAGAGACACCAGAGAGAGACCAACGAGAGACCAACAAGAGAGACACCAGAGAGAGACCAACGTGAGACCAACGAGAGAGACACCAGAGAGAGACCAACGTGAGACCAACGAGAGACCAACGAGAGAGACACCAGAGAGAGACCAACGTGAGACCAACGAGAGAGACACCAGAGAGAGACCAACGGGAGACCAACGAGAGAGACACCAGAGAGAGACCAACGAGAGAGATACCAGAGAGAGACCAACGAGAGAGACACCAGAGAGACCAACAAGAGAGATACCAAAATGAGAAACACCAAGGAGAGACCAGAGAGTGACCAGACAGAGAGAGACCAAGGAGAGACTGAGACTAGAGAAACAGAGACCTGAGAGAGAGCAGAGCAGAGAGCAACCAGAGAGAGACCATATATATAGAGAGAGAGAGAGAGGGACCGGACCCTTAAACAGCAGAGAGTAATGGGATTGTCGCCATTTCTGATCATATCCTCTCATAAATGCCTATATATTTTCTACTTCATAATTACCTTTTCTAAACTACAGTAAATAACATAACTTTTGTAACATGTTACTCCCAACAATGCTTAATACATATCTTATATAGACGTTGATAGTTCTTATTAATAACTCGACTTAAACCCAGAGAAATAACACATTTCAGTCAATCCCGGAGCATCCCCTGCATCTGAATGGACTCCTTTGTCTATCGAGCAGCTGACTGAAGTTCAGAGTAACCACATCTCAGGTCTATGTCTTCTGAACAGGACCACTCCCTGTTGTGTGTGTGTGGCCCCAACCTCTGAAGCAATTCAACTCGCAACCGTTTAATACACATCTGCTTCACATGGCATCAGCAGTGACACCAAAGAGCTGAGAGTCAGACTCTTTCATCTGCTGCAGCCTGGCTCCAGCTCAGCCGTAATTACAGACCACACACAGCTGCTGCGGCGCTTCCGGATCAGGACTTAACTGAGGAGGAGGAAGTGGAGGAAGTGGAGGACTGAGGGAGGTGGAGGGTGAGGACTGAGGGAGGCGGGTGAGGGAGGTGGAGGGCGAGGACTGCGGGGGGTGGGGGGGTGGTTGAGGACTGAGGGACAATTAAAGACCACGCAGAGCTGCTGATGTTGCTTCTGGATCAGGACTTATCTGAGAGGAAGAAATGGAGGCCTAAGGAAGTGGAGGGTTGAGAAAGGGTGGCGGGGGGAGACAGAGGGAGGGGGTGAGGACTAAGGTAGGAAGTGGAGGACTGAGGGAGGTGAGGGAGGAAGGGGGGGGGGGGGGGGGGGGGGGGCTGAGGGAGGGGGGGGATTGAGGAATACGGGAGGAAGTGGAGGACTCACTGAACAATTACAGACCAAACAGAGCTGCCGGCGCTGCTTCCGGATCAGGACCAAGGACAAAGAGGAAGAGCGGGACTGAGGCCAAAGGAGTGAGGAAGAATGTACTACAGCTGCTACTACTACTACATAACATAACACTGGGAGAAAGACAGGAGAGGGCCGGCATAACATTAAAGGTACACTGTGTAGATCTTATATTGCAGTACAGAAGCCTTTGATGGAAAATATGGGGCAATATGTCGTCTTTGACATATTGTCATACTGAGTCATTCACCAGACTGCCAAGGAAAGAATCCGTTGGTTGAGTTGAAACTTGTGACTCAGAAGTTGGATAAAGCGGGTCAGAACATCCAGAGACCTTTGGAGCAGATTCTGCCTCGTTCTCGTTACTGTCAATGTGAAGAAAGTTACATATTGTTCAGGTGTGAGTCTGTTGTATACAAACGACACAATGTGCCTCCTGTTGTTTTAACTCTGCCTTTCGGTGCGTGTGGTTTGTGATGTTGACACGTTTGCTATTTTGACGTTGGTTTCCTAGATTTTTGCAAAATTCTTTTCTAAATGACTCTTGTTAGGGTAGTTTTTTTTATATACTGTAACTATGTTCCTTCATGATCCCTTTTTCAAACTTGTGAGGGCACGATATCAGTAGCACCTGTGAAACGAAAATGACTTTTCAAGTATTTCAAGATGGCGCATTGACATGGAGAGTCCCCAGCTCTCATGCACATTTATAATTCAAATTTTAAGCATATGAAAACAATTCAAAAACATGGTGGGGGTAAATATATAATATAAAGGTCAAATTTGTTATTGGTAAACATGTTTTTTTCATTTGGAACATATGTGAAAATTGCACAGAGTGGCTTGAAGAGAAAGACAGTAGAGGACCGGCATAACACTGAAGACTAAAATCTCCCCTAAATACGGTCAATTCAGCAGAAAAACTCTGTGAGTGGCTCTGACCTGCCCTGCTGCCACATTCCACACACTGAGGCCGTAAAACAGACGCTTCCAGTTTCACTCCAGACTAGAGGTGGTGGGGTCAAGAGGTCACGAGGTCAAGAGGTCAGGAGGTCACGGCTGACGCAAGAAGTTCCATTCACCCAAATAAGCCACATTCTGTAGAAGTTTTAATGTGTAAATAGCAAACCAGGAATCTCCAAAACTCCTCAGTTTTTTCATACCAGAGACTTTTCTTTTTGATCCAAATATTTTGACTATTTCAAACGTATTCATTAACAACATAACCCCATCCCCTCGCACTGCTGGTGATGTCACACATTATATGAAGTTACACATATGTTCAGAGTCCAAACCTCAAACAGACACAAATCTGAATGTATTAGATAGATACTCCTCAGGACTAAACATAGTGAGGCAGAGTAGCAGATATATGCAGCTAAAATCTGGAACAATCTTCCTGAAAATGTGAGAGGCTTCTACTCTGAATATGTTCAAAAACAGTTCTGTTTTGCTGAAACAACTGAAGGATTGTATCGTCACTCTTAATAATTTACAGTCATTATATACGCCTTCAGCACTCTGAGTTGCATATAAACTGTGATATACAAATAAACTTGCAGAATACAGACTACAGACCCTAGACTACAGGAGCGATTCAAAACTAGTCTCTTTCACTGTCCTCAGACACTGTGATATAAAGTACTCTCAGAATCTACTTCCTGCTTGGACGAGGCCACATAAGTGTTGTATTATTCACTCGAGGTCAGGAGAGTGCTCTGAATGCCTCGGTGCAAATACAATATTAAGAGAAATATTTTTTCAGTTTAGTCACTCGACAACAGAGAAGCGCTGATTTTGAAGCTACAACCTGAAGACAGGGGTCACACGCAGGGAGAAGCAAATATCACTCAAGTCCTGTTTGCAGCTGATTTAGGGTCTAAAAACCAACAATTATATACTATTATGACTACAGAGAGAGTGACCAGAGAGCGAGACCTGAGAGAGAAAAGAGAGCGAGAAAAGAGGGCTACCAGAGAGAGAGACATGAGTGAGACCT